TTTCTTGAAAACATCAAATTGTTAGAATTATTTATTTGTTTTAAGCATCTCCTACTCCGTACATTGTAATGATTTAATATGGATCTAATTCGTCACTTTTCATCTGTTCTCGTCTTATTTTCGATATCGATTTACTATTCGTCAATACGATTACACGTAATAAATTAAAACTACAAATAAAATACGTAATAAAAGATCCTTTTTGCCACTGTTCGAAGAACCATCTCCTGAACAACGCTCAATGTAAGTATTGTCATTAATTTCGTATTACTAACATCGTATGTTATAACTACATAAATTCCATTTATCTGTAGATTTTACCATAAGGTGTCTTTAATTTTGATGCACGTGATGGTTTAAAGGTAATGTAATTTATATTGAACTTTTCGAATGTGGAAGTAACACTTTCATCAATATTATGTGCTACGAAATACATTTACTCCTTTCAATTAAATATACGTGTATAAGTATAGTTGGGAGAATTTTTATACATCCTCGTGGATTTACATTAGTAGGCGGATTTAATGTGCTACAATACAATATATATTTTTCTGCATAAGTTGTCACGTGACTACAGTATTGTAACGCATGGCAGATACAGCCTTTGTTAGCAAATGCTGCTTTCCAAGCTCGCGATTAAGTTAAAAGTCAAAGTCATAAACGAGTGGGGAAAGAGGCATTGTATGAGTGACATTTGTAGAGGAAATCTAGTTGAATAGAACTTACGCAACAATGGCATTAGCAACAGTGTCTTATTCACAGATTATCCTACCTTTGGTTCCTAAGGAGCATGGTTTTTCTAATGTAATATTCTTGGTTCTCCAGAAACCAATACATACAGGGTGAGGCCCTTAAAACAGGACAGCTGAATAACTCGTTTATTTTTGATAATAAAAAACATATGGGATAAAGTTATTTAGTTTCAAGGAGTACATAATCTGATGTTATTCATGTTTTTTAAGGTGTACGTGTAAAGGAGATATAAAGATTAACCTCGTTCTTTTTTTAGTGAGTAATATAATTTTTTATTTACTTTCTGATAAAACTTTTCAAGACGAATATAGTGACATGCAATTGAAAGACACTCAAGTTCAACTATAGTAAAAAGTGTATTGACTAAGACTTTTTCGCACATTTTTGTATTTTCTCCGGTTATTGATGAACATTAAATTGTTCTTTTAAAACAAAGGTACCCATAAATTATCTATGAAATTTTCACATTTTAAAAATGTTTCACAATCAGACCACTAGGAAGAATTAAAGCTCGTTTGCGTTGGTATAATCTGTCGACTTATGCTAACTATGAGCACTCGAATTATTATTTGCAAATGAATCACCGAAGTATTTGAAAAGAATTTTTAATCAATCTATTTTCCACTGCAACTGACCTTGAATGACATAAAATGACCTTAAATTACATATTATATTTATCTTGAAACATTCTATCACAATAACTAAATAATTATATCAATAGGTTTAAAAATACAAAGTTGATTTTTGTATTCCCTTTACACATACATCTATAAAAAATGAATAACATCAGATTTTATGTTCAACGAAACCAAACTTTGCCCTAATTTATTTTTTTGTTTGTATTATCAAAAGCAAGCAAATTATTCAAGTGTGACATCCGAAAATTCTATAATGAAGTAAAAATCTTAAATAAATAAATTGATGCGTGAGAAATGTATTGGAATATAAATTACATATCGAAGTATTCTTTTCTATGTGCTGAAATATGCAATTTAGTACTCTGTATATTTGATTTGTATCTTTCGTAATGTTAAACCTTTAATTGTTCGTATTAATTGTTTATTATTTTTTCATTTCTCAGTGATTTAATTCCTTATAAGAAAATTGTAAGTAATCGTATGTCAATCTTATTGCAAAATTAATGATACTGAATATCCTATTATAGCCTTTGGGTTATAATACTATACATGTATGTTTCGAACACTTATAGTAAAGTATATTTACTCTACTTGCAAAGACTACCATATGGAAGTACTATCTTGAATTTAATTGCTCTCAGATGTGCATAGTTTGAACTAATTGGTAAGCAAGCATTCTTCATAGAAAAGGAGTGTGTCATACATTAACCTTTCTAACTAACCATATATACATCAATAATTTACAGATTGTCAAGCATCAGCATAGCATGGAAATGTTAATTGTTAATTTTGTAAAACAAAGTTTGTACAAAAGTAGTATTAATGTTATTTATAAAAAATAACGTCCGACAAGTTTTAAAAATTGATATCTTTGAAAAGAATGTGAGCTATTAAAAAAAGAATATTTCACAGTTTCTGCGCATTTTTTGTTAAAGAAATTTCGAAAGTATACCAACCAATTTAAGAGTTTAATACTTGTTCTTTAACTTAATCTGCTGATTACTTTTTATTAATCATCTGATTAATTAGATTCTAATCAAACAAATTGTTCGTATTTATCTTATGCAATTTTACGAACAGACATGAGAAATTCTAAATTCAATATAACTTCTACTTAATAAAATGTGATAACCAATACAAGTTTAGACAGATCTGCGTGTACATACAGGACAAACATAGATTAGGTACAGACTATACTCGTATTTGTAGCATTTAGTGCAACAAATTGAGTGAAAATAAAGAGGAGTTTATAGAAAGGGAAAAGAAAGAGGGAGGAACAAATAGAAGAAAATAATAGAATTAAATTTAATATATATCTATTTATATCTATTGTAAGAGACAATAAGCAGTCAAATTAAAAGTGGAACTAAGAGTCAAGCAAATGAAACGCGTACAATTGATAGATAAGTCCATTTATATTATTGCCAATAAAATTCTTAATAATGATTTCTATTTTACATAAAATTGAATTCTTATTTATTTTATGAGGTAGTGCTTACGTCCACGATATAAGTAAATAAAGATTGTTTGAAATCAATGAAGCAGATGTAAAGCTTTCATATATATTTATACATAGTTGAAAGTGCAATAAAATATCATAATAATATAAAATTGTATGTAAGATTGTGTTGAAAATTAATTTTCAACGAATAAAACATTTGTTAAAAAAATCTACAACTAATTTTCTTTTTTCAATAATAATTTTAAAATTAAAAGATTATTTTCAATAATTAATGTTTAATAAATACTAATTTTGATATATATTTTGTTATAACATGTGAATAATTGTTTGCTAATAAAATTTACTTGAAATTGATTAAAAATATTAAACACTGTAATACGATTAAACATTTCACATAGCGTGGCTATCGATTTATCAAAACAGCAATGGCGGTCTATGAAATTACAGTTAAATTCTACTCTTTATCAATCTAAGAGACAATGAACGTATTTAGCCCGTAAGAAGAGCAACAAGTAGCGTTACATATATCCACGTAACAGCAATATGCTACGTGACAAAAGGAACGTGCGATATGACAGAATCTAAGGTTACAGACAATACATGACTCGTGCAGTGAACACATAATGGCGCCGAAAAGTTTCTGACTGTTTTTTTTCTTTTTTCAACAAATTTTATTTCTATCATAACCAAACAAATAATTGGTTATAAAACAAAGGTAAACGAATTAGACGGAATATTTTTCTTAACAGAACCAGGAACAAAAGGAAGAGCAAAATTTGTACAACTGATTAAACGGATAATATAAGAATTGATATAAAGTTAAATACACGGAAGAAGGTGCAGAGTTTTAAATTAAATTTTAAAACCGGTCATTTACCCGGTCACGGTAGGTTTAGTGTTTACATGATAGATTGTTATACAAATATGGGCAGTAAACTTATTGTTCGATTTTCATTTCATTTTTATTTTTAACATAAATTAAACATTATTTGTCTATTATCAATGTTTAACTTTTAGAGTAAACATAGACGCAAAATAAATATAATATTTTTTTTCTTTTTCTACTAAATGGTGGTTCCATTAAGCATAGTTATTAAAGAAAAATTGTTAATAGGACAAGGGGTTAAACATGCAGTTAGCCATATCTTCCCAAAATGTTATATAAATATGTTTTGGAAAAATATTAAGTATTGAACAATTTAAAACACTAACTGACATAATGATTAAAATAACTAATTAATGAAAGAACTGTAATAAGTTAGCTTTCTTGCGAATAGCCTGTGCGATACTACTTTTGAATTCTTATTATTCAAGAACATTAAAAATGACTGTTTACACTTTCACGATTTTAATGTTTTCAAGATATGTTTAAATGTTTCAAATACTGTTCAAAATGAGCACTTCATTTTCCTGAAATTGTAGATTCTCACTGGGTAAAATAGGGAAAAGTGTAATTAAAACAAATTCCATTTCATTTGAATAAATTACGAAATGTATTAAAAAATTTGATAATAAATTATTAAATACAATAGATATAAATATGATATTCGACATCAGTAATATAAATATCTGTTAAATAATACTGTACAGTATCAAAATTATTTAGCTACAATGATTGTCTTTCATAAATACCTATTCCTTAATAGCTCGTCAGGAATATGCACATCAGTTACATTAACGGATTCTTTATCACATATCGCGTATCACCTTTGTAAAAGGTGGTCTGAGAAGGTACCATGGTATTCAATAAATAATCACTTACAACTACCTACCGCTCTAAATAAATAATTTCAATGTCCACGAATAAATAATAAATACCAACGCTAATGATTAGTGACCGTAATAAATAATTTCATGAATAAATAAGTTAAATTGCCTACACTATATAAAGACTAAGCTCGTTTCGCAATGATTGCATTATCTTGAACGATTATCACGAATGACTTGAACGGCGGTTGTCTAGTCACGCGTATTGTGACACGGCTTCGCGTCTCGTGCCAATCGCAAGCGATAGGTGCTAAGTCAATTTACATCGCACATTCGAAATCAATTTGCACCATTTTCGTCGATGGTGTCATACATTATCATGGACACGATCCGCGTTTTATTTTCGCGCGAGAATGCAGCGCGATGTTCTTTTCCCCTTGCAATTGCTTTCTAGTAGTCGAAAACGCGCCTCCAGATGTGAAGATAGTCCCTGTACTTGCGGACCACGCCCCAATCACGGACCAGTCTCCTGGTGTCATCAACGGGTTCCCGTTCGGAGATCTTCATGATACTCCTGTGAACTCGCGACGGCACTCGCAGGAACGGCAGATTGACGATGTGACTCTCGACTTCGCACAGCAGCATCATTAAGTAAGACTGCGTCCCTTTTAGCGCATTGTGGATCTTCGAGTTCGTCTCGTCATCCACCAATTCCTCGAAGGCGACCGCGAACTTCTGCAGATCCATGTGCATCTTTGGCAAGCGTTCGGCAATCTGTAAGACGAGTCGATTGTTCAGATATTTCAGTCAATGATTCACGGCGGCGTTAGACGCGAGCGATGTGTTGCTGATGTCAACACTATTATGAAAGTCGTCAATCGCAATTGCTAATTCTGTGTATACTGTTCGATCAATGATAGATCATTGAACCACGGTTCACGTGACGTGTTCAATTGAATTCAAAGTGTGTATTGGATATTAAAAATAGAACGTTGTAGGAATGTAAATCTGTATATGTTTAATGTATAAATTTAATTATTGCTCGGTTAAGGATCAAGTTAAATATTAAGAGATTTAATTGTAACGATTAACTAGAAGGAAGAATAGTGATTACTCTTTGCTCATTTTTTACTATGGGAAACGATTTTTATCATTGTTTACTAAACTTTCGTTACAAATATAGTCAAATACGTAACATCATACTCTCATATGTATTAGAAATATTTAACTTCTTTTATATGAAAAATATGTCAATAAAATTGCAAATGTTTTCGAAAATTTCCAATTTGTTTAAGCATTTGTCTACTAAATTATATAATTAGTGAAAGCATTTGATAATAGAAGAAAACATCTATTCCTCTATTTATACTCGTCTAACAAAGCATGTTGATAGTAAAACATGCGGTTATCAAAGTTCACAAAATCCTTTCAATTGCTAATATCCAAGGGTTAAATAAACAACAACGTTTCGTTCGAACACTATGCTTGCCGCTTAACAAAAACCGTACTGACAAATTTCCTATCGTAACCAGTCAAATAACTAGCTACAAACTAAAGGTAAACAAGTTGGATCATACATTTTTTTCATAGAAACGGAAACAAAAGGAAAGAGAAAGATTAAAAAGCTAAGGAATCGGACAACATAGGAACTAAAATAAAGTTAAATGAACGAAAGAAAACGCACTGTTTGAAATCCTGGTACGGTTAGCTCTAATAATATTCCAATTCGCAAAGGGTTTATAGAAACGATTCCTAGCAGGAGGGAAAGAATGCCAGTGCAATATGTCAAGGACCGCGAACTCGGTCGAAACGAGCTGATGCAGACTGATTAAAAAATTGATTAGTCGGACAACATAGGAATTGTAATAAAATCAAATGAACGAAAGAAACCGCAGAATTTAAAATCCTGGTACAGTTAGAATCAACACTAAAACTACCGAACAATTAAATTGACTTTTCGAAAGTACTCTACAGAAACTCTAAGAATGCACCCGTTGAAACTTGAAATGCTTTACAATTCAGTTTGCGTATTGTTAAATCGAATTCTTTAATAATTTCTCGGAGAAACGTTGGTCGTCTTTTTAATAACTGCAAAAAGCAGAAATCAGGAATTGGACGTTTGACCCGTCTAGTAGTTTTAGCGTTAATAATATTCCGATTCGCAAAGGGTTTATTGAAACGATTCCTAGCAGGAGGGAAAGAATGCCAGTGCAATATGTCAAGGACCGCGGACTCGGTCGGAACGTGCTGATGCAGAATGATTTGTAGAGCGGCGAAAGGAAGAAGGGGGAGGAGCGAAAATATCAGGGAGTACCGCGGACGTTATCACGGGTGCGTTATCAGAGTGCACGCATCGCGGCGGACGACAAGCGTGATTACGCAGTCGCGCGACCCGGCTAACATGAGCGGGATGTACCCTGGACCTGCGTTGCGCGCGCAAACTTCGAACAGCCGCGCACGCTTCTGCTCGCCTGCTACTTTATAATAATTACCGTCTCATTAAAATTTGTTATTTAACGTTGCGTTAATTAATTGCAACGACGAATGGTCAACTGATCGCGAGAGCTGAAAATGCGCGCGACTCCGTCGCGGCTCACCTGTCCCCAGCGACAACGATACATTCAAAACTCGCCCGCTCCGTTCGCGTCCCGGCGCTCTCACCACGCTCGATGAATATTTATAGGAGGGGGCGTTCTTAATCATCGCGCGGCGACACAAAGGACGATTATAGCCTCGAGGAAGTTCAACGAGATAATCCGCGGATCAACACCGGACTTTCTTCGGAGGGGAGCCAAGGCTTTCCGTTTCTTTCCGTTCAAAGATTTTAGACTTTCGCGCGGCCGAATTTGTTGTTGAATCTCGATTTAACACTAAACCAACCCGGTATTTTATATACATCTATTCCTATTGTAATCAATCAAATATCTAGTTATAAAATGAAAGTAAACAAATTAAATTGTACATTTTTCTGGGTGAAAACAGAAAGAAATGGGAAGACGAAAATTTAAAAGCTAAAGTAAATAATTAATTTAAAATAAAATAAAACACAGTATTTTTAATGAAATTTGAAAACCAGTCATTTGATGGGTCGTTTAGTGTTAAATATTTCTGATGGATATACACTCCAGAGCATAACTACAGCACCACTACAGTTTTCAGTAATTGTAGTATCTGAAGTAATAACTTTTAACTATTAATAATGTGGTAAACAAAGTATGTTAAAAATATGTATTTAAATTGTGTAGACGTGTCAATTGCTTTTTTTTCATTGGTGGAAAGAGGCAATTGCGATTGACTGTTTTGAAGTTGCACGCGAAATATCGTATTTTGTAGTTATTTTATATCTTAAATACACATGCAACATAGTTTTTAAAAGATTATGACAATTTGTTTTCTTTCTAGAATTTAGTAAGTCTTTCATTAGGTCGACGAATACAGAAAGCTTGAATTTCTTTCGGTAAAGAATAATTTACCAAAATAAAACTATTCGTTTGAAAAGTTTCATATTTAAAAAATATTGTTATAACTTGACGTTAGACAAGAAGTAACCACTAGATTGCACGTTCACATAATTTACCGGTAAAAAGCATTGCCATTTTAAAGACCACGAAACACTCTTTTCCTCGAGAAGCTATTACAAAACAGTAAACCGTGTAACGCGAATACGGTAACGCCATAACCCGTATTACGAAGAAACAAAATTTTCCGTGCATCAACATAATACCATAATGAGCTTGGGGCTTGCGAACTATGTGATCGTCGAAGTAACGCTAGAACCACTATCGCGGGAGGCAGAAACGTTAACCACGAGAGTCTATAGAGTTACAAACAAGAGATAAACTTACCTCTTGCGGCGTGGCGTTGACCAGATCGTTGATTATGTGCACGTCTTTTTCGTCTGGAACCCAGTTGGGGATATAGTGATGGTTCTCAACGCCGATCCGCACCCTTTCGTACAGGAAATCGTAGTCCCGATTCAAGTAATCGTTCATCGTCAGCTCGTGCTGCAGCTTCAGACTCTGCAGGCTGGTCTCGACTTCCTCGTTAAGATTTTCGAAAACGCTGGGCTCCGTTTCTATGATCTCCCCACAGGGCAGGTGCCAGGTGGGCACCGTGGATCTAGTAGATCTCCTCGGTGCTCCGAAAACGACGGCCAAGACGGACAACAATACGTACGATCGCGATACCAGCATGTTTAGTGTTCGATCAGTTCGCACAAACACTAATTGCAATTCGAGCAACGACGTCTCGTACACTGTAATCCCGGTAAAACGGAACGCAAGGCGATGTCAGCGACTGGCGTGAGATCGTGAACTGAGATTGTCAAACTCTCGTACTTCCAGCTTATATATGGTATTGTGTAAACAATCGGGCGTACGCACGCACGATCGACGGTGGGGTGGCAGCTTACATTTTGTCCAGTTTTTCGCCGCTCCGCCGGAGCGCCGTGTGCCCACGACCGAGACTTCTTCGTAACGAATTTCGGAGAGTGGGAATCGGATACGTCGATTTAGATGGTAATCGGCCACAGGACAAACCGCATCCAGAAATAATTCCCGCGATTAATAATGTTTACTAACTGTGCAAACGGGCAACGCCTGCCGCAATAAACGCATCGTTATTTACGATCTTGCAATCAATGTGGCGTCACGATTAGGTGTGTCACACCACAAACCGTAATGATCGTTATATCCCAATTCCGGTTCTGACCGGTTCATTGTCAGAAAATTACTTTATTCGATAGAACTTTTGAATAAAGATTCATCTTAGCGCAGGATTATCCGGGTACAATGTTAAGATGTTCAACAGTTCGCTGGATGTTTCAAATTTATCCCATATCGCGTTATGCATGTAAATTCGATGATTATTGCTTGTTTATGATTATGCTGCTTGCTTAATGAAACATCTATTTATCGTTATTCGAAGGAATTAACACTATTGAAGTGTTACATAAAGGACATCTTATAGGAATAGCGTTTCTCGTTGAACTGAATCCTAATGCCAAACGAAAGATGAAGTGCATCGAAGATTGAGAGAAAAATAGAGAAGGGAACCGCGTATTGCAACGAACGAATTGCATAAGAAGCTTTCTTATTTTCGGTATCCTTTCGGAGGCTGCAGCGCAACCACATCCACATCCAAATTTATCTGAATGACGTGTTCGTGTAAACGCGAATAATACCTATTGGTTAGGCATCGCGAATTTCGCGGATTCCCACGTTTGTGTTCTCACGTTTCGATTTTCCCCGAAAACCGTGGTATACCTGCCGTCACGTCGTGTGTGTGCGGCGCTCGCAAGCTCATCGGAAGTGAAGTTCTTCGGTTCCGACAGAAGTCTTACGGATGCCTGATGCACGCGTTATACAGGCAAACACGCGGTACTATTTGCATTATGATTCAGTTGGGAATGCCGCATCGCGCAGTGTCAAAAGCCGCGTAACCGCGATCTGATCTCGAGTGGCGTGTACTGGTAATCTAATCTGTCCGACAGAATCAACGGTAACGCTCGCGAATGGTCATCGATGTACTTACTACATTAAGTACACACGTATGACAAAGATCCCGTGATTCCGATTGTGAGTCACAGTGTCATATCGATACAGATTTGCATCTAGAACAAATTCGTTTACATCCCTGTGAAACAGTCAATGAAAACGCCGAACATTCGCGGGAGATATTTTTGAATATGTCGGGTCGCGATCTTGCGGGGATACCAGCGAGATGAGGCCGCACGAAAAATTGACGTCAGGCGGTCAACACTTTTGCGTTTGAGTCCGGTGTACAGACGCAGCGCAAAAACTAGTGAATGAAGTCGACGTAAGGTACTTACGCGTCCTACGTCGGCGATAATCCTACGTAATACACGAATACGCGTGTACGCCATATAAGGCGATACTATAATTAGCGAGTTAGAGAATCCAAGGGATTAAAATTAGGTCTCCTCGCACTGGATTAGGACGATACGGAATTCCGCTTACGAAGGTCTGTGTGTGTATAGTCAAATCGAGGAGACATTAATGATATTTCCTTTTATAGAGTTTTGTATGGTTTTATTAAGAATTTTATCGTCAAATGTAATTTGGTATGATTTTTGATATAACATTTGTGAATTTTATAAGCATTCATTGAATGTAAATGAATTGGACTTTTGGGGGTATTTGTCGAATAATGTGAGTGTATCAAGAAGGATTTCTTAGGTATGCTTTAGTTTTCATTTCTGAATGATTAGTTTTTTATTGGAAGCTTTAATACCTTATATTAAGTATCACTTGGTCAGTTAATACATTCACATCGGCATGTACCATCGATGGTATACAGCTAATTTATAAGAATAAAAACAAATCAATGTTCATAAGGAAATTATTTACCAAATTATTTATTAACATTTACTTACAGTTAGCAACTGAAGTCAGAAAACTAGATACATGACAAAAGAATTCATTTCAACATTACTTTTGCAAACATTGTTATTATTACAATCTATGATTAAGTATATAGAAACATATCCTGACGTGAAAGTATTAAACAATGTTTGAAGTGATAACACTTATTTAGTTGGTTTCTCCTGTTTAATTTTAATTTCCTGAATCAAACAAGTTTATGTTTTTACTTTCTATACGAAATTTATATACTGTTCGATAGACTTTATTACAAACTTCTTTAATTAAATGATTTTCATCGTAAATACAATTTGCGGTACATTTAATATCTTCTAGACGGCTACTAAAATCATATTTAACTGCTCTATAAACTTAAATGTTTTATTTGTAAAATGATCATTTAAAATCATATTTATACCTATCTGGCATATACAATATTTATTCTTTATTCATTCAGATTAAAAATATGTGGAACTTTCTATGCATGGTGAGAAATACTTTTTTATATATACAAATGTCTATTTAATGTTTTTAGTAATAATAATAATAATAATATATATATATATATGTGGAATAAAATTAGAAGCAACACAATCAAAAAGACATCATCTGACACATTGTGTAATGGAGAGATTTAAAATTAGGTTTACAGACATTTACGGTCTATGCACACGAGTGACGCGATGCGGCGCCGTAACAGCGATGCTGTGCGATTTTGGAAGAGCAAAAACGTAAAGTTTTCTTATCCTTTTTTTGTGAAACAGAAGAACTTTGTTTCTTTGTTCGTTCAAAACAACCGCTACGACGTCGCATTCTGGAGTGTTTGCCGTTTAAACGCGGTAAAAAACATTTTTCGAATAAAATAGTGTGTATAGGACTTGTTTAGCAGAATTTGGTGTCGTTTCTGGTATTGTTGGAAATAGCAAAGCCTGTTCTTTAATACACAACAAAAATTGAATGACACTATTCATAATTGTAGCTACATTAATTTTTATTCAGCATTGCTTGCTTCGTATCAAGCAATCTTCGCATCGGAACAGCATTTCCGATTTTAAGACTTATTTAATCGAATTCAGTATTGTTTCTGGTATTATTAGAAAGACAAAATATAGAATACAAATTGGTTGCTACTAACTGCAATTGTGGTAGTTATTGGAAATTCTATTTGGTATGAATAAAACTTGCTGCGCCAACCATAGTTGCAGATAATATCACATAATTCTTGTTCAGTATTAAATAATAGATCCTTCCTCTTTTATCAATATTGAAAACAACTCTGAACTCTATCAAATATGTCTCAAAATTAAAAAAACAATCACTTCCATTCAAAAAGCGAGTGATGGACCGCGAACGATAGTGTAAATAGAAATTGTTGTAGCTTCCAGAATTGCGGATAATAGCACTTAATTCTTATACAATATTAAAGATTACGACTTCCTCTTTCCATTAATACCAAAATCAAATCTAACCTACGTTAGATATGTCCTAAAATTAAAATATTCCATATGCATGCCAATATCACGTGACGCACATGACGCAGAGCGAATGTCAATATGAATAAAAATTATTATAACTACCAAAGTTGCTGCTGGAAAAATCTGATTCGTTTTCTACATGAAAATCTAAGCCTTGCTTTTTACATTGATACTAAAAACAACTCTGAACTAAAATTAAAAGTATCCGTACCCAGGCAAATACCGCGTGACGCTTCACGAGCGTCATTTTAATTAAAAATATAATAGTATTCAACTATACACATGTTACATTTAATTTTACTTGGAATTATTTAAATTGTAAAAGCAATAAGGTTACAATTGATTATTTTAGTGTATAGTTTTTTCGGGGTTGTTTT